TTGACTAGATAAATGTTCGGGATATGTTCAAACTTTTTAAAATAGATACAAGCTATACTCCACCTTCATCCTCGATCAAAATATATTCTTAGATCTATTGCATGATAAATTTCTATAAACTGTGGTTATAAAAGACTGGAAAGTTAATCTGCGCTTATGAACACAATAAACTCCTTTTCTTAATGTGAGAAGAATTTAAGTAATTGTGGAAAGAATTTTAATTCAAAATTAGATTTATTCCTACATTGTCTCTGACTTTCCTTTCAATCATTAATATGAGCCACAAGTAACTGAAACTGGAAAACCATTTTGCAAAGATCACTAATCCACTTCCTCCTCTGGTAATTAATGACAAGACTAAATTAATTAACCTGCACAAATAATAACAGACAGCAAAAATCCTTTCACAATACAGAGTTTCCCTGGGTACATAGAGATAGCAACCAAAGCCACCACATAGCAACACATCAAAGAAAAACATCTACACTAGAAAAGTAAGATAAGAACATTTCCACCAGAACTGGACATTCACCAAATTAACCATTACAGTGGGCACATTCACACATGCACCAAGAACAACCTCTCCTATACATATTTCTAGTCTCTGTACTCCTATTGTAGCTACCTTCTAGTGCTGTTTCAATGCTCTCAAATAAAATTACCTGCCTCCTCTTCAAACAGTGTGTCCAGTGTTATTCTTACACAATCCGGCTCGCAAGAATTGCCGGAATTAAAATGGCATTTCTTAGCAGAAAACATGGGCTATATTCAGACACATGAATCCAAACAATTTCAAACATTTAAGCTCATATAAAATTATTTGCTTCTTCAGCTGTGGAAGTAAAAATTGCTTCCATCTGAATAAAATGTGGACTACTTTAGGGTGGATGAGAATTACTATAGTTATTTTTTCATTGTGTTAATAGATCATAAAATTATTTATTCTATTTGAAATATGTTATATGTTGCCTGGCTTGACAGGAGGCTTCCAAAGCAGTTAAGAATAAGAATAAAGTTAAGTTACAATCTACAGTTCAAACAGCTTTTGAAAAGTAGTTGCAATCTTCCACCTCTACATAAATAAATTGCAAGATTCTATAATTCCAATAGATTAACAATTGTTATTAAACACATAGTATTTTTCTTCCTCTTCTTTCACATGTACAAATTACAATTTTATAGCAAGCTTTGGAGGATTGTGGAATAAATACCTAAAGTTTGGAGGGAATATATATATGGCCCTGGGGCCCAAGTTACAGTTTATGCCTTACTGCCATCATAACGGTTTAAATACATTTTCTGTTTCTTAGTAAATTGAATGAAGCCTATTAAAGCTGAGGTTTAAAACAGATCAATGTATTTCCTACAGCTAGATTCTCTTAAAAGCAATAAAATGCATACAAGCTTAGCTTGCTCTTCTCCATAGAAATCTTTACTTTCATGTTTAGCATGCTAGTAACCTCTTTTATATTCCAGGATTTGGGTGGAATATAGTGACATTTGAATTCCAAATAAATGATAAAAAATACCCATTAATAAAAACTACATTTACATCTGTGGATCTTGATTCAATAAACTCTTTTCTTGATCATCTACTTTATTGCATATGTTTGCAAATGCTTCTTAAATCTTAAAAAATGATATAAAGAAATAAAAAAAATTCTGATTTGAATCAAAACCCAGAATATTTGAACTTGATTATTGAAAAGCAATGTTATTCATCTACTTGGATGATGCACATTGCTTGAACTTACAGCCAACACAATAGTAGAGATAAAGAAAACAGCACACACCTTAAAATCAGCATTATTTCAAACTCTGCCATTTATTGATGGTCTTCGGTTAAAACCTCAGAAAAATTAAATACTACCCCAAGGCATGAAAAATACACAAAATTTTATCAAAATATTTGTATTCCAAAGGGTATGTACATATTATACACTTTACATAACTGTAAAATGGGAAGTTTTTTCACCACTTGAAAGATAATTTTGTTCAATTAGTAAACTTAGCTTTGTATTGTTATACATATACAATTGGATGCCATGTTTAACACAAAATCCTTTTTAAAAAATGTATAAAGATATGGTTCAAAACATTTACAAAAGTAAATTACCATCCGGTTAGTACAAAATGAATTATATTACATTCATATAAAAAGATTAAAAGAAATTTTCCATTATAGTTGTTGTGTATCTTAAAAGAGAAAAAGGGAAAAGATTCTCAAGCATTGAATTATTATTATTTTTTTCCTGTGATGGAAATAAAGTGGAATTTCACCCCTGATCTGAAGAATGTTTTATGCTTCTGAAAAACATTCTCGAACATTGTTTCTTAACCTTGGCAACTTGAAGATCTGTGTGCTTCAATTCTTCAACTGCCCTGGGGAATTCTGGAAGTTGAAATGCACATATTTTCAAGCTGCTAAGGTTGAAAAACACTGTTCCAGAAGATGTCCAATTGACCTGTGCATGAAGGAATCTTCCCAACCTTTTGATTCAAACTCTTAGAATTCTCAGCAACAGCCATGCCAGATGGGGAATTCTGGGAGCCGAAGTCCAACATCTGTTGCCCAGGTGGGGGAAGACCGCCATAAATAATTGAAATCTGCTAGGATGCAGGTAGGTCCGCATATGTGTATATGTGCATATACTGCAAGTTACAAACATTGCACAAACATCCCCTATCCCCAGTGCACTGTAATAAGGGGAGAAAAAGAACCAGACAGCTAAAAGCCAGTATAAACATAATGAAATCAAATTGGCGTACCTGACATTATTAGATGCGAGCAGAAACTTGGAATAAACCTTGGTCTTGGGAATTTTTTTCTAATGTGTGTTGAAAGAAATTCACTCTCTTATACAAAAGATAAGGCGTAGAATTATAGTTGAGGGAAATTTTGAGGATGGGATCTTCATCAAGGCTTTGCGGCATGGGAGAGAGGCTTCTTCCCAGGAACTGCATAGAATATCTTACTATGTTGGAGTAGTTCATGGAGTTTGGGAACAATCTTTTACTTTCCAGGTGGTTGTACAACATTTGTGACCCTTATAGCATTAGGTGGTGCATGTACTATTAGCGTCTGTGCATGGACATAGAAATGTATATTGATTATTCCATCAGCAAGTGCATGAAGTAAGTACTGTTGATTAATCCAAGCAAGAAGAAGACAGGACTGGCTATGAGTATTTGAAAGCTTCATTCTGTTACCATTTGTGACACCGATTGGTCAGTTGATACACGATTATCATACTTGAGTTCTAAAGATGAGCAGGTTCAAAAGAAATTGCCTCTGTTTCCTAATATTAAGGAACAATAAAGTTGCTCCAAGAACATTTTGGAAGCTATTAAGAACTTGACATCAGAAATACAAGCATGAATAAAGCAAGAGAGTTGGCCAAAGGCTCCCTTTAGCTATCCATATGCTCCTTTCTCTATGTTTCACAGTTGCCCCAAAAACAGGCATTTGGAAAAAGTAAATTTAAGATCAGAATATCTGGGGAAACAATATCTGATCTCTTGTAAGAATGATTACTAGAAACATCCCTTAAAATTTAAACAAAACAAGAAAGACTGGATTAAAAGGCAGGGGCATGGACAATGGAAAGGGTGTGCAAGGAGAGCTTTGTAGAGTAGAATAGACTAGAGAACATATGGTATATTAGACACTAGGGTAAAAGTTTTCCATGACTAAATTAAGTGATTAACTTGTGTCTATGCTGTACTGTTTCAGATGCTAGATGATGACAGGGCTAACAAATCTGGGATAAAATCCAGTGCAATAAAGAACAGCCATCTGGACTTTTGGACCAAGATACTCAAGAAGGAAAAATATAAATATACTTCCAATCCTTTACTACTCTACTAATCCCAACACACTAGCTTTTTGTATGCATAAAATACTTCCTGTACTCTGAATTGATATAACCAAGATGAAGGTTTTCAGATCCTTGGGAGAATCATTGTGATAAAAAGACCTTGAGAGAAAGTTATTTTTAAAAAACCTTAAAAACCTCAAACTAGTCCAGTGTGACTTTTTATAAATTAGGTGGTAAAAACAAAGTATGACTGACCACAAATAAGCCAGAGGGAGAAGAGAATCACATATACATATCACCTTTTAAACTAGACAAGATTGGAGTTTCTAATAGCAAAAATGTACACAGGTCCACTCAGAAGCAATTTCCACTGTTTTCAAATGTGAGCTTTCACAGAAAATGAAAACAAGTCAATGAAAGACTAAGGGCATTCTATCTTCATCAACAGATGACAACCAATCTTGGGTTAAAGCAGCCTTTTCAGCTTCATACTATCAAGTTGAGTTATGGCTGTTAAGTCCCAAAATTTCTACCCAGTTGCAATCCTAACACACCTGAAGAGAGAACTAGGGCGCATAAGGCAGGATCAAAGATAAAAATAACCATCTAGACTAGCATTTTGTATCATATGATGGCCAGCCACTGGGAAGTTCATAACAGTTGGCCTACAAACATAGAAGTGGAATGAACACTCTGGTCTGACACATGCTCAAGCATTCACTTGTTGCTATGCCTTTTGGCATATGCCAACATAGCTGTCATAAATCTGTGCTAACAACATCTCCATCATTGACATCTCGGCAAACGGATTGTAACCAAAATGAACACACGACAAGTCAGCAATCAGCAGGCTCACCGAAGTGAGTGAATTGAGATATGGGTGCAGTCAGCCCTTCCTCAAGCTTCAAGCTCAGGCACTAGTTTTATTGTTGGCTTAAAGAATACTTTGGCTTGTCACTATTTGGACAATGCCAAACAAAAACACATATACCATTTTTTTTTAAAAAAAGCATCATAAAAAAAATAAGAAAAAAAAGAATACCTTTTCTATTCTATTTTTGTCACATAAAACTTACATTAAGAATGCAACCTAAAATACTATATTCATATAAATGCACAGTTTCAATAAAAAAAAATATAATATATTCATTTTTGTTAAAAGGCTCATCTTTTCTTTCTCTAGCACCTACACAATTTTGCTCTCCCTCTTGTCCCTTTTTCTTCCACTTAATGTCAGGAAACCATCCCAGGATTACATTTCCCCTCGTCTGTGGGCTTTTACTGCAACAGGACCACCTTCTTCTTCTTCTTCCTCTTCCTCTTCCTCATAGTTTTCATCATGTCCTTCTTTCTGTTGCTTCCCTTCATGAATATCTTCCTCTTGATCAACTCCTTCGCTCATTTTTTCTTCACCCTGGAAATCCAAAATTGGTGAAAGGGAGAAATGATTTCAGAACACAACTTGAAAAAATAAACAAACAAACAAAAATAGAAAAAGGATACAATTTTGGAAAGAAAAGCTAATAGCAATAGCACTTAGACTTATATACTGCTTTACAGTGCTTTACAGCTCTCTCTAAGCCAGACATGTCAAACACAAGGCCCGGGGGCCGGATGTGGCCCGCGAAGTGGTTTCATGTGGCCCTCGAAGCCATCCTGGAAACAGTGAGGGAACAGCCCCCGCTGCCTTGGCCCTGGCCCAGGCTGGCCGGGAGCCAATGTACAATTTTGTGGTGGCCATCTATGCTGAAACACATTCAGTCTTAGCTCCACAAGGCCGTCCAGAAACAGCGAGGAACCAGCCCCTGCTGTATCGGCCCCGCCCCCTGGGTGCATGCTGGGGAGGTGTCATCCTTTGTGAGGAATGAAGAAATGGACCATGCCTTGGTGCTTGCCCCGGTCCCACGCCCTTCTCCCAGAGACCCTCAGATCCCAGAGACCCTCAGACCACTCCTGCCCAGGCCCCCAGAGGCACCCTTAACACGAACGATATAGAGCTGGCCATGCCCACCCAGTAGGCCACACCCACTCCATCCACGCCCACCCAGTAGGCTGCATCCACCCTGGCCACACACACCCGCCCCCCCAAGGGCAACCGCAATGCTGATGCGGCCCTCAATGAAATTGAGTTTGACACCCCTGCTCTAAGCGGTTTACAGAGTCACCTTATTGCCCCCAACTATCTGGGTCCTCACTTTACCGACCTCTGAAGGATGGAAGGCTGAGTCAACCTTGAGGCAGTGAGACTCGAACTGCTGGCAGCCAGGAGTCAGCAGAATTAGCCTGCAGTACTGCTTTCTAACCACCGCGCCACCACTGCACCATTTTATAGATTAAATTCTATAGTATTCTAATTGTTACAGCAAAGTAGAGGGAATTGCTTCCCTCCCCTGGAAATAAGAGAAAATTCAAAGGGATATGCATAATGATATTAGCATCCTACAACTTTTGCTCTTTAAAGGTGAAACAGAAGTATGCATACTGTATCGCTTCTAAACTACATAATCTTACTCAGTTCAGTTGTCTCAGCCACCAACTTTCATAGCTTTATTTCTAACTTAACTTCTGTGGACCTCACCCCATATATAAGAGGTCCCTAAGGGGGTGTACATAAGTGCACTAATGTTGCCTATTGTCCTGTCACATTTTAATTTTTTATTTCACTCATTTGAATTTATAATTTTCATTTGACAAATAAAAAATAATAAAATAAAATAAAATAAATAAAAAATATAAAATAAAATAAAAAATAAATAAAATAATAAAATAAAATAATAAAATATAATAAAATAAAATAAAATAAAATAATAAAATAAAATAAAATAATAAAATATAATAATAAAATAAAATAAAATAAAATAAAATAAAATAAAATAAAATAAAATAAAATAATAAAATAAAATAAAATAATAAAATAAAATAAAATAAAATAATAAAATAAAATAAAATAAAATAAAATAAAATAAAATAGGTTCTGGAGTCATCCAACCTAATCCTTCTGATGGGATCCTCAAAGCTCCACCCAAAGTTACTGTGAAATCATAACAAAATGATTAAATGCAATCCTGTTATCTATTATTTAATTAATATTAATGTCAATTTTATTTAAAAATAAAGTAATTTTCTACTGCTTTCTCCTGAGCTTCCTACTTGGAAAGGATGATGACCAAAAGCCAAGTACAACCTTGGTTTGAAAAAACTTGCATCCCCTCGCCCTAATGGACCATTTGTTAGCATTTTATTAATGCTGTGCAATTTTCACAGGTAATCCTGGTATTCATTCTGGTTTCACTACAGTCTAATTTGTAGTCACTTCTTTTTTTTTTCCCCACAAGGGCTATATCATTGATTCTGCTGAATTTGGCATCTGTCGTTTTTGTAAAAGTTCTAAAAAGCTAGTATGAGGCTCCAAAGTGTTCGTCAGTCCAAACACTGATTAAGACCCATTTGCTTTTAGTAGAATACATTTGTTTTTACTAGGCAGAAAGAGTAATAGTTAAGAGATTCAATGGATAAAGCACAACATTTCAGATCCAAGTCCATTTCCCATGATAGGACCTTCTCCACTTCATTATTTAATTGTGCAGTGCTTACATTTTCATCATTTTCACCATATGGATCTTCACCATTGTGTTCCAGCCCCCTTTTCTTCTCTTCGGGTAGATCTCCTTGGGCCTATTAAAAATACACATATTTAAGGACAAAGTGATTATAGAAGATAAAGTAGCCATTTGGTCTATACTGCACCTATTGGGTAAGATTAAATAAATAAATAAATTTAATTTAAAAAAAAAACTAATTTTCTTTTTTAATATTTTGGAATAAAGTTCTAAGAATTTCCAGCCATAAAGTTTCCTGGCAGTTATAATCCTGTTGGCTAGTCCAACAGAATTATGAAGTACAAGAAATACTTCTATGGGCTATGTACTGTTTTGTACTATCGCTTGTCCTTCTTTGCAGAAACTATCTGTGGCCTATAAATTACATTGCTGGACTTGTACAGCTGCCACATCAGAAATATGGACTTAGGGTTCCACTCAAATATATTATTGCAGCTTTTTCTGTAATATATTTCATCATTCAGCCGGCCCTTCCTCCAAGAAGCTCAAGATGCATAAATTCAACCCACTGCCATATGTTACCCTCACAATAAACCTGTGAAGTAGGGTTCATAATTTCAGGTTATTTACCTCTTCCTCTCCCTCTTCCTGGTACTGCTCATCCACATTGTCTTCCTGTTGATCCGGATTGCCCACCACCTGCAGATAAATCAAACCGATTCTGCTGCTTTTACTCCTGCAGATCCAGAACTCAGAAAATAAGTATTAACTTTAAAAAAAATAAAATAAAGGGCAGGCAAAACTATAGACAGGCTGGGCTATTGCACAGACTTAAATCTGAAAGCTCACATATCACTGAGAACTGCACAGACATAACTTTGGTCAGTCTATTAACTGTGGTTGAAAGATCTGGAATAGTTTGATACACAGGGCCATAAAATCAAACTGATACATGGTTTAATGTAGGGATGCTGGAAATATCTATCATGGACATCTTTTCAAGCAAAGAGGCTTTGTCTGCCAAAACAGAGTCTGTTGCGGTACAAATGAGCATATAATTCACTGAGTTCTTTAGCCTACCCTTTGAAATATTTCTCAGCTAAAAATACAGGGTGTTAAATGCTTATCATTTTGCATTAACATTTGCACTAAAATTTAATTTTAGATTCACATTAAAATATTTTGGCAAAGTTGTATGAAAAAAATTAATGTAGGGGTTTTTTTTGTCATTCATTTAGAATAAGACCTGTTTTAAAAAATGCAGAAATCTGAGAACTGGGAGTATCAGTTAGCTAACTAACATTCACCTAAAGAAAGAATTCATCCCATCCTTCAGAATCAAAAGGCTTCAAACAGCCAGATCTCAATGGTTTATAGAAACCCAAGAATGGTGGGAATGTTATGTCTCTGCAGATATGTTATTCCAGAAAACTGGGGCCATGGAGAAAGGGCAGACCTCCAGATGGAGGGACCCAGAGTAGGGATCCAGAGTGAGCCCCTCCTCATAGATCTCTTCAAGTTACAAAAGGCCACTGGGAGAAGACATTCCAGAAGATATTCAAGGCCAAAGCTATGAAGAGATTTACATGAACCATGAACACATTTAGTTGTACCTGGAAACTAGAAAGGTAACCTGATCCGCTCTCACAAAAAAGGTATTGAATGGATAAATTGCCCCTAACTCTCTGAGTTCTATGTTCTGGACTAATTATGGGTTCAGAGTGTGTTCAAAGACAGTCCCATGTAAACTGAGTCCAAATGAGGGGTCCTTGGTGCTCTCTGAGCTTGAATGTTTTCTTGCAGACGCTTCATCGGCTACGCTAGATAACATCCTCAGTGCTAACAAGACCCCCTCATTTCAATCCTGAACTACAAATATTCTCCTTTATTAGTAGTCCAAACGAAAGTTGGCCAAGGCATGAGTGACTATGAGTCACTCATAACCTGATGAAGGAACGCTTACAACTGGAGCACAAGAAGAAACTGTGGAGAAATCTTCCAAATTGCAACTGTGACCAAAATGTGTTGAAACTTTTGTATTTCCTTCTTTAAAAAAAACCATAATCTGGAAGCAATTAGATTGCCTAAAGTCACTGGGTGTCAGGTGAAATATACATTTAATAAACTATTATTATTTAGAAATGTACTGAAAGTCGCCACTGATTATGGATAGTATAAAACACAATTTATCGGGTCAATGCTTAAGAATATGGAACATAGCAATTATAATTACAATTATATTAATATTATATTCATGCTTGAGTAAATGATATGGATATTTTTGGTAAACAATACATTCTAAGATAATTTCCACTTTTAAACTCTTTCAGTGATGTGAAAGGTGGATACAGTGTTTAGAAGCAAGCTTGCTTAATTCAATATTTATTCTTAAATGCTTCTCTCTTTCTCTTGATCTCTATCTTTATAATAAATTTATCCAGAGGACAAGAATAAATTAACGTTTATTGTCTAGACATTATAATGCTGGTTTGTGTGTATTAGGAGAATCAAAGTTGAGCAGGAGAAAGAAAATCAATGCTCTTTTTAATATATTTGTTAAAACATCAGAAACACAAATGCTGAATTAAGCATTTCTTCCTTTAAATGCAGTTTCTCCCTGTAAAAAAAAAACAAATTTTAAGCTATCATCAATATCCGCTAATGCTTTTAAACAGTATTCGTACTGTATTTCAACAATAACAAATATTCAAAAAGTAGTTTTGAGTATTTAGACCAGGAATAAACCAGTCCTGTTGGTTCAAGGGCCACAGAATGGTATATAGAGGGCCACTCTGCAAAAGTGGGTACATGATATCTTGGACGAGTGTTTGAGGAGAGAAAATAATACATTAATACTTTAACCCCATCAAGGCTTAAAAAAAACCCCATTTTCCTGATAAAAATTTCTCTTCAACCACTCAAAGACAGAAAAGAACTGATCTGCGAGAGATCTCTGGGAAACGGTAGCTTAGCTTTCTAAGGGTAGCTTAGAAATACTTACAGTACCTTTCTGCTTCTTTGTAGGATGTAAAATAGATGCCATGACAGAGAGAGGCACATGTTTGAGCCACCTCTCCTAAAAAAACAGGTTCAGGTGACATGTAACAAAATAGCAGAGTTTGAAGGGACCTTGGAAGTTTTCTAGTCCAAACCCCTGCTCAAATAGGAAACCCTACACCATTTCAGACAAATGGTTATCCATCTCTTCTTTAAAACCTCCAGTGTTGGAGAACCCACAACTTCTGGAGGCAAGTCGTTCCCATTGATTAACTGTTCTAACTGCCAGGAAATTTCTCCTTAGTTCTAGGTTGATTTTCTTCTTGATTAGTTTCCATCCATTTTGTTCTACATTCAGGTGCTTTGGAGAAAAAGTCAAGGTGAGATTTGTGACATGACATCACCATGAACGTGGTCAATTTGCAGAAGGAATTTGTAGCTCTGTTTAAAGGTGACAGAGTTTCAGCCCCTATTCTTGGGAAAAAATGTTCAGGATACATTCTGCCAAACAGCTTAACACCATCAGCAATTTCTAAGGGCAGTAAAAAAAAAGATAGCCCCCGCCATCTTGATATGTTCCAAACGTGTTCCTCTATTATCATTGGCTATAAGTGGATTACTCCACTTGGCAGCATAGGTTACTCCCAAGTTCTTAATAAGAAAGGCATACGAATTAAGGATGCCTTATTTCAATTATGGTTTTAAGAAGATGTTAATATATTTTAGTTTTTACTGAAAAGAAAAATGTCAGAAGTCTGACACGAAAAATACATTTTCTGATGTTCAAACCTCTGTTATGAAACCCCTTTCTCCAAGATATTCTGATAAAACATTAAAACTATTCATTTAATTGATGTGGAGTCCTTAGTGTTTTCTGAGCTTGTCTGTTTACTTGCAGACATTTCGTAGGTAACATTATCAGTCGATCAAAAGCTCAAAGAGCACCAAAGGACTCCACAGTTCAACCCTGAGCTACATATATTCTCTTGTATTGGAATTTAATTGATGTGTTTACATCATATTGTTCAGGCAGGTTTCTGAGCTTTATTATATGTTGCTGCTTTTCTAAAAAATAAAAACATAATTTCACTATGTCTTAGGGTTGTTTTGATTTCTATTTATTTTTAAATGGCTTTTGAGTTTGTCAAGAAAGGTGAGAAAATATTCTAAAGAAATACAAAAAAATTTCATCATACAAAAAGTAGCACATTCAAATGCTAATAATATGTATATAGTGGTTTCAAAAAGGGAGTTCAAAAGAATTTTAGTTATTTGGTAACCGGGAAATCCCTGTATGTACTGGTTATACTGTTAAAAAGCATTGTATCATAAATAACTACTTCATGAACAAGGCTGGGACTCATGCTTTCCCCCTTGGGGTGTCTGGAGATTATGGTAAACAAACATACTCTACATGAGATTACCCTTGAAAAGTATCTGGAAACTTCAGCTGCTAAAGAATGTGGATGCACATCCAATAAATGGTGCATGTTAACACCTTTGCAGCATAAGTTGCATTTGATGCCAGTTTGCTTCAGGATTCAATTCAACATTTTGATTATCACCTTTAAAAACCTGCATGGCACAGGGCCGGGTTACCTTTAGTACTGTCTTCATCTCATCACATCAGTCTGTCCCACCCAATCAGGCCAGGAAGGTAAGTTGTGGACTCCATCAGCCAAACAATTCTGACTGGTGGGGTCCAGGAACTGAGTTTTCTCTGCCACTGCCCCTGCCCTGTGGAACATACTCTCCCCAAAAAGGTGAGGTGGGCCCCACTCTCCTGGCCTTCTGGAAAGGCATGAAAACATGGCTCTGTGACCTTGCTTGGGGCTCATAGTGGTGCACACAGCTATGGGACTGGTTAGCATTCAGAAAGTCCTTTTAATTAACTTTTAACATTGTTCTGTGCCTCTTTTTAAATGTTGTGTACTGTTTTTATGTTTTAATCCTTTATTTGTACAACACCCAGAGCTTCTACTTGAAAATTTGATAGATAAATAAAAATAAGCAACAGCAAAATCCATCAAGATATCTGCTTCAACAGTGTAACTGAAGCTCTTCCCATTTATGTACATTGCACATAAAAAAATGATAGTCTGATTGCATCATCAAAGCATCATTTTTCATTAAAACAGTTTGCCATTTTGTCAGAATTGGGCCGTAGGAACAGGTTTAGAGATTGTGCTAAACCGTGGTTTATTGAATATACCCCAACTAACTAGAGCAGTGGTGGCGAACCTATGGCACGGGTGCCAGAGGCGGCACTGAGAGCCCTCTCTATGGGCACATGCGCCATCGCCCCAGTCCTAGGCCTTCAGCTGGGTTTTATAAAACCTTTTCGCTTTAGGCCTCCACCGCCGTGTGAAAGAAAAAAAAGGTTCAATCAGTCAATTTTAACTTCTCGCGGGAAAAAAAAGATCTTGCAAAGTTGAAATTGATTGATTGAACTTTTTAGTCTCAACCAGTGTGCCATTACCACTGCAGCCACGCCCACCCAACTGGCCACGCCCAGCCAATGGGCCACACCCACCTGGCACTCGACGATGCATAAGTGGGTTTTGGGTTGCAGTTTGGGCACTCGGTCTCTAAAAGGTTCGCCATCACTGAACTAGAGTCATACAACCTAAGCCATAATGCGAAACTTACAAACCAGAACACTTGAGTTTACACAAACTGTTAACCAAACCAAACAAAGTACAAAATGTCTTTGTGTGATGTGTGAACCAAGTTTAACTTTCATTTTACAGAAAATATATCATATATATCTGCATAAAATCAGAAGCATAGGAAGAGAGAGGGAAATAGTTTTATACTGTACAGATAAAACTAAACCAAGTTTTACTTACACCAAACTTCCCATATATTGTTGATCATGCCAACTGAAAATTCTGGAAACTATAATTCAATATATCTTGATGATACTACATTAGGAAAGACTGTTTTATATGTTTTTTGTGTACTTGCTGGTTGGCAGATTGATGTATCAACAGAATCATCTGAGAACATTGCTTTCATTCATGCAGTTTACTGCTGGGTACTATATTGATATTCATGTCTAACACAAGGAAAGAGATTTTCCCATATCTCCCTTTGTTTTGTGATTCTAATACCTGACACAGTTTGGCAACAGAATGCTGATGTTTTGCAATTCTTTCCCTTTTGGATTTCTGAAGTTCTCATAAATCATTTGTAGGTATAGCTTCCTTCAATTTCTATTCTCCTTTATTGATTTTTTTCACTACATCCTCTCCCTCTCTCTCCGTTCAAGCTATAGATGCTCACAGATGCTCATGTGCACGGAGCATAAATCATAGAGGAGATCTAATGCAATGATCCATACTATTGCATCCAGATTCCTTTGGTGTCCTGCTCTTCATCAAAGATGCACAAGGGTGTTTGGTAACATGGAGTTGAGCAGAAGAAAGTGAGATGTGAATGAACAGAAGATGGAAGACTCCTGAGATTGAGTTTAGAAATTTTCCATATTCATCCGAAAGAAATATGAGAAGTACATGGGGCAAAAGAAAGCCCTAAAATGCTATCACAATATGAAATCTAAATTTCTCTAATAGCTGTCTAGAATGACCAGCAGATGAGTTTTAAAATGTTATAATGCACTTACTGCACCTTATAAGGAAAACAGGTAGTGAAGAGTATATGTAGCGTCCCAGTCAATACTGCAGACCCTGCTCAACCATGGCTTATATGCTGTGTCCTGAATAGAAGAAAGTGAACTACCAATAATTTTTTCTGCCACCCTCACCACTCTCTGCACCGCCTTCCTGTCTGAAGCAGTAATGCTTTCAAACCAGACAGTAATGCAATATGACACGATGCTTTCAATTGTCCCTCTATAAAAAGTGGTAAGGACAGGGGAAGGAAGATGTATTTTTCTCATGCAACACAGAAAAGGCACAGAAAAGTACATCTTCCTTCCCCTGTCCTTTCCATTTTCTATAGAAGGACAATTGAGAGCATTCTGTCATATTGCATTACTGTTTGGTTTGGAAGCATTACTGCTTCAGACAGAAAGGCGGTACAGAGAGTGGTGAGGATGGCAGAAAAGATTATTGGTAGTTCACTTCCTTCTATTCAGGACACGGCATATAAGTGATGCTTGAGCAGGGTCCACAGTATTGTCTGGGATGCTACACATCCTCTTCACTACCTATTTTTCTTGTTGCCTTCTGAGAGGAAGCTTTGTGGTATCTGAAGCAGAACATCCAGATTCAATCACGGTTTTGTTCCATATAGCATCAACTATGTGAACTCTCAAGCTTCCTCTTTCCACTATGTACTCAGTGATTACTATATATATATATATATGGATATAGGTAAATATGTGTGTGTTTGTGTGTGTGTGTATATATGTATATATACATTTATATAGCATGTATATATGTGTGTTAAGTATGTATATGAGTTGACATATACTTTCTTTTGAAAGTAGGCAACAGAATTTTATTTTTAATATGTGCCAGTGTGCTCACAGTAAAAAATGATAATAAAGGTTATCTTATCTATCTTATGTTTGAAAGGATTCTTTCACCCATGTATGAAAACACTTGAAATTACAATCATTTCATGAACAAAGCCATTGGTTTCACTGACTCACCACCAAATGGTCTTCCATTTCAGAATTCACTTGTTTCTGGTTATTTGGTTTTAGCTCTTTATTCTCTTCAGGGAGATTCTCTTCCCTCTCTTGCTCTGCTTCTTCAAATTCATCTTCTCCCTGGTTGTTGGGATCATCAGCTGGGTTGATCTCATCCATGACTGTCTTCTGCATTTACAAGATGAAGTGAAACAAATACTCAACAACAATATATATTTCACTACAATACCACCACTGTCACTTAGATTTAACATCTTCTGAACTAACTAGCACTTTCTGGATATACCCTAGTAATACAGAAATGCATTCTATATTTATATTCTTTCAACATAAAACCTGTATAACCTGTATAATATGTTTAATGTAGAAATTTCTATTCTGCTTTTTCTTCCATTAGAAGAAAAATACAACATGTCAGCAGGATAAATACACAGATGAAGGCAGTATGAAATATGTTGATAAATTAGCTTTAAAAAAAACGGTAAAGCAAGCAGAACAGAAAGTAAATTCAGGTACAAATTCCTTTCTAGAAATAAGGTACATTATTCATCTTATTTGTATAATAAGAATGCTGTAAACATTTTTAAAAAAGGGTGCCCTGCAAATATTTTGGATATAATTGCTGTTTGGGGATAATGAGTACTATAGTCCACATTCTCTTCAGGAATCTTGTGCATGACCACAAGCAAGATTTAGGATAATGGATGGGCTCTATAGTATGGCAGCCACAAACCTCTCACCCAGTTGCTATGTTGTGATATGCACATACAATAGCTAACTTGTTTTTAAAAAATCCCACAAAAAATTGAAAAACTTTTTCTTCAAAAATCCTTGAAAAGCAGGTAATACTAAAATAATGATGGGGTTCATACATTGGATTAAACCATGTGGTTAAAGCTTGATATTGATTTTGCAGAACATAATAACCTAACCATTATGATTCTAAACTATTATTTATAGCTTATAGACAGGATATTTGAAACACTGTCCCAAAATTACTCAGTGGGCTTTATGACCAAACACAGGTTGATTCACTCATCATGGAAAATCAGAAAATGGTTTATTTGGTATAGGCTTAGTTTGCTGTTTGAGCTCAGAAATTATGTCATGTAAATAAAATTGTGGCTTTGCTTGATATGTACATCCATCCATAGACTTGAAGGTCAAGTCCACTCATTGTATGATTTGTTTTGCCGTTAGAGTAATTCATTCTGTTAGATTGGTTCTGTCTTCTCATCTTGCAAATTAGTCTTTATGAGTACAACTATAACAACAGAAGATAGGTAAGTCCATAATGCATTAAAGTCATCTAGATTCATCTCTTCTTAACATAGATTTTCATCCTGTAAGTTAATATAGTGTAAGCTTGATCTTGAAAATTATTATAGCTACTGAACTATAAACATGCAAGCCAGGATGAAATCTCATGCTTAAAGAATAACAGAATTGGAAGAGACCTTAGAGATCTTCTAGTCCAACCCCCTGCTCAAGCAGGAAACCCTGGCCTATACCATTTCAGACAAATGGCTGTCCAATCTCTTCTTTTCAAAGATATGATTGGGTACCTAAGAAAGTAACTACCTCTTGCCCTCAATGCCCCTGCTATTGGTTTTATACCCATATACGTATATTCCTGGATGGCATTCTGAAGACTCTATTATACTCTTTTTATAGTCTTTTCCCTTGAATTGGCATTTATTTAGAAAAATGTGATACACATCTTTGCTGAAATCAAAAGGCACTCTGATGGAATTCACTTGGTATCATTTAAACACTCTCATACACAGCTCTTCTTTACTTTTTCCCCAAAACAGTCCCTGGAGAAAAGAGTCTAAAGATACTGTTTTCTTTTCATAATGCATCAAGATCCTTCACCTCTAGACATACTGATCTTTTTTGTTTTTATAACAAGACTGTGAAGCTCAGTAGTGGGATGTTGTATGGGTAACTGGCAATCGTTGCTCTAATTTTTGTTTTCCCCAAACTTCTTAAAATTATCATGACTTCAGGCCTGACCAGCTTTATGTTTACCTCTTTCTGGAAAAGAATTAACATATGTCTCCCGATAAAGGAGAATATTTGTAGCTCAGGGTTGAAATAAGGGGTCCTTGGTGCTCTCTGAACTTGGCTGTTTTCTTTTTCTATAACATATTTCTGTAATACAAAGCGCTATTGTGTGTGCAATCATACAAACACAAATACATATTCTCTCTTGAGATAAGTACTATTATATAAAGCACAGGAGGGTAAGAAGTACAGGTAATCTTTGATTAGAGGCTGTTTGAAGTTATGGTGGACTCCCCAATAGTTACTTATGACTCAATTTTGAAGTTACAATGACTGCACCCAGATGATCACATTTTGGGCGCTTGGTAATCAGCTCATCTTTATGATTGTTGCAGCATCTCACGGTTATGTGACAGTGATTTTCAGTGATTTTTTTTTGCCAGTTTCCAGCATTTGCTCCCAGTTTACAATAAAAACGCAAATTGGGTAAAATTGATTTACTTAACGACCATGGTGTTTGTTTAATCACTGCTGCAAAAAATGATATAAAATTGGGTCCAGTCACATGGTGATATGCTTAACAATCGCAATAACTTATGGTTTCAATTATGGTCATAAGTTAAGGACTACCAGTAGCGACAAAAGGAATATATTTGTTTTGTAACTGATCCTCATGCATCTTCTCTATATGATCAAGGCACCTCCACATTTTTGTACTGGTCATTCACTTTTCTATTTAGTTCAGGCTCATTCATCACCCATTCATTCTTTACCTATTCTTGTTGCTTTAGCACACACAGAAACATACACACTTCTTAAATACTCCATTCCAACTACATTCAGGCACACTGTTCAGAATGCAGAGTTGCAAACAAAATCTGATCACAGCCTAGAGTTCAATCCTGACAGGGCTCAAGGTTGACTCAGCCTTCCATCCTTCTGAGGACACTGATTGTTGGGGGCAATATGCTGACATTGTATACCTCCCGGAAAATGCTGCAAAGCCCTATGGGACGGTATATCAGTCTAAGTGCTATTGTTATTGCTATTCAAGTTAGTTCTGTTACTTCAGTTTATCAACTCTTTTTTGGGTACAGAATGGGTTTAAATTGATTGATTGATTGAACCCATTAGCTAGAAAAGAATCTGTTTCTCTTGAAAAGTTGCTGAGAAGCAGCCTTGATGGTATTACTGCCACTTACTGGTTCTTCGTTTTGCTCATTCTCTGACTGGTACTCCAGCTCTGGGTCCTGTTGCTCATTTGCATTATTCTGATCATCATCTTCTACTCTGCTTGGATGCTGGTTCTGTCTCTCATAATCTAATTGAAAAATAAATCCTTTTCAGTCCTTCTTCCCCACAAGCAGGAAGCACCATCACAAGCTTAATTCCACAGCTGGAAACAGCATTAAAACAGCATCTCAGCTTTGAATGCAGTGTGAAAATCATAAAACCAAAAATGATATATTCTACTCATAAGCTAAGTGTCTTTTGCCTATATTGCAGGGGTGTCAAACTGCCAGCCCGCGGGCCGGTTTCATCATACTGGAGCCGCGCCCACCCCATTGCCGGCAATGCCAAAAAAGCTCCGATACGTCGCGTGACGTCGCGAGTTTGACATGTCTGCTATATTGGATAAGATCAACCAATAAAATGGTTATGTTAATGTTTATATTTTAAATATTCCATAATTTCTGTTTCAACGGATTTTTTTTTAAAGCCAGGTCTTGAATTCCAGATGGAATTCAGCTTAATGGTAATTTTAAACTATTTTTTTAAGGGTTAAGCTCTATTGTATGCTATTCTTACCTGTCTTAAGTGGGATATAAATCCTGTGAAAAAAATATCAGAAAAATAAGACAAACTGTTGACAGGGAAGATAATTATTACTTACTTTCATCTTCTTTATGTACACCTGCTTCTCTTCCTTGCACGATATCCTGATCTACATTGTCATAATGGGATTGCTGGCTGAAATGATTGCAAGGTCTATTAATTCAGATTCATACAGAAGGAACCCTTTCTGATATACAACATGTGGGGTGATTAATGCTATGTTTCTTTTTTGCTCCAGGCTAGCTTAACATTACCCAGAAGGCGGACGAATGAGCACAAAAAACAAAACAAAAAACTATCAAATTCTTGTTTTATTTAGGTCAGTATAATATAATTATCTGTAGTTCTCCAAAGTCTAAGACAAAATTCCTTCCCAACCTTACTTGAAGAGGCCAGGAATTGAACTTGAGATGTTCCACCTCACGAATTCCTGTTCTATTAGGAAAACATGATCTCTCCCTCTGAACTAAAGCCCATCCTATTGATAGAGAAATATAGGAACATGTCTTACTCTGAATTAGAGCACCAGTCCATCCAGCTCACCAATTGCTGGAGTTTCAAAGGACGGTTGTGATGATAAATTTTCCCACTACTTCCAATCTTTCTATACAATTTGTCAAGTAATAAATTGTTCCAAAGAAGTCTGAGATGGATTGCTGGTTGACAGTAGAAAAACAGCAGAATCTTTCTTAGTATCTCTTTACGCCTAAGAATATGCACGCTACTTGGTGTCTGCCATTTGACTTTACGTAAAATAACTTTCCCCTTAAACCTTAACCAAATTGAAGAAACAAATGTATGCAAATAAATGGAAAGCTTCAGCCTCTAGGACCATAACTGTTTTCAACATTGTCTAGCCCCGATGGTGGGTGCAGCCTAGTGCTTTATGAAGAAGCATTCTCTACATTTACCTTAAATAATAGAAAAGTAAGTTGGGGAGGTAGAAAGCATTGAGGGTGGTAGTGAGCAGAGGCTGAGAAGCAAACAATGTAATGTTTTTGTTTTTGCTTTCTAGTAAACTAGTTCCAAGTGGCAACAATTTTGTGATTGTTGAGAACAACCCAAGAAATGTTCTCAAAATCCCAAACGTGACTATTATATCAAAAAGGAGCTATCTCTGGTTTAAACAGTGCCAACAATAGGGCTGCCTTCCACAGAAACAAAATCAGCATTAAAAAACAGACAGTAATATATCTCAGCGTACTGTATATACAAAGATACATGTATTCTGTGTGTCTGTTGTCTGCCTGGCTTTATCTGCTCATAGTTTATACAAACAATGGTGAAGCAGGAACAATGCCATATGAATCATTTAAAGGATTCATAAAGGATACACAGGCATTCTTTTGCAGACCATTTGAGACACACAATCCTAATATTGAAAACTTTAAGAGTCCCTTTTTGAGGGCAGCCATTACAAAAGCCATCTTGTAAACCAGGGGTAGTCAACCTTGGCTCTTTTATGACTCGTGGACTTCAACTCCCAGAATTCCTGAGCCAGCCATGCTGGCTCAGGAATTCTGCAAGTTGAAGTCCACGAGTCATAAAAGAGCCAAGGTTGACTACCCCCGTCAATGTAAACAGTTACTTGTTAGATAGGCAATTCATTAGAGAATTGCCTGTGTTCCTCTCAGGCCTTGTTTATGTACCTATTATTTACTACCCTGAAATAGAAAAAAACCAAAAAGGGGCCAGCAGTCTAAGAATTTCGCAAGTCTAGACTTTTCTGACCAATTAAACTTTCTTCCTTTCTCAGGTGTGGGAGGGCGGGGCAGAGAGCATGTGTGGCAAAGACAACCTGAGCTGTTGCTTAAATTGTTCTTCATCCTGTTCGGCCTGCCTCCTCAGCATCAGCTCTCTCTCTTCAAGTTGCTGCTGCCGATGCAACTGCTCCTGAAGCCTCTCGTGATGCAGGACCTCCTGGCGCTCTCTGAGACGGCTGGCTTCTTCTTGTCTCCGGGCAGCCAGCTTCTGTTGCTCCAGCTGCTGCTCATAAGGCAATTTGTACCTTGTTACAGGCTTCGGTGTGGGTGGCTCCTGGCGGAACACACATACGAGATCGTTCAAGTAATGTGACATTTTGTTTTGCATGCAGGAGACCTCCAAGAGGGAGTCAAGCTATTCTCCAAAGGGCCTGAAGGCAGGACAAGAAGCAACGGGTGGAAACTAATCAAGGAGAGAAGCAATCTAGAACTAAGGAGAAACTTCCTGACAGTGAGAACAATTAACCAGTGGAACAACCTGCCTCCAGAAGCGGTGAATGCTCCAACACTGGAAGTTTTTAAGAAGAGACTGGACAGCCATTTGTCCGAAATGGTATAGGGTTTCCTG